TTTAGAACATTGATTTTGAAACTTGTGAATCCATTAGAATCGTTAGAAGACAGAATCGCGATTCATATATGAATAGATTTTTACGTGCACCTCTAGTTTTCTCTTCCTCTTCTCTAAAGCAGGGCAGCATGGCCTCGCCCCTTTTGCTGCCTTTTCCCGAGGGCGGGGTTTATCTGGGTTTGTGATGTCACGAACCCAGAAAGTAACTCGTTGTAGTCCCTACCAGCTGTTTTTGTAGGCATTAAACTGCCAGAATTTTAAAAGACGATATCTCGTTTGCATTGAACTTTCAGCTTTTTAACTTTGCAGATAATGTTTAAGCTCAAACAGCAACATTTAGACACTAACGTTAAAAAAGTGAAATCGCAATCAACCACCCCTTTAAAATGCTTTTGAAAGTCTCTTAAGTTCACCAAAGATGCAATTATTTGATCAAAAATACAATACAAATAGTAATGCAATAAAAATAGTAATATATAAATAATTAAAAATAATTTTGTATTTTAATATATTTTAAAATGTAATTTATTCCTGTGATGGCAAAGCTAATTTTTCAGCAGCCATTACTTCCAGTCTTCAGTGTCACATGGTCCTTCAGAAATCATTCTAATGCTCATTATCATTAAACAGTTTTTTTTTTTTTCAGTATTCTTTGATGAACAGAAAGAACAGCATTTATTTGAAATAGAAACATTAGAAATGTCTTTACTAGGGCTAGGCTTTGACACAAATTTCACGATTCGATTCTCATTCACAAGCTTTTGATTCGATTCAATATCCATTCATTTGGATACATTTCAGGTACAGTACATGCCAAATTTTCAAAGAAAAATTATCTCTCAACTAATGCTGTAAAATATACATGAGAGTCAGTTGGTAATACATTACTATAATATTTAAGGTTAAAATTGACTGATTTGTTAAAATTACACTTAATGAAGTTTTTAAAATAATTAAGTTACAATTACATATTTCTACTTCAATTCGTTATTTTAAATATAAACATAATGGTGGATGTCATAAAAACTTGATGAATTTATTCAAACATTAAATATTGAAGAACCGTAAAATTTATAATGAATTTTATATGGTGCATATATTTAGTAAAACGACCCTCTCTACAGTTTATTTTCTGACTATTATGTTCACCATATGTTTTTTCTGAGGTAAATGTGACTTTACATGACATTGTTTACAAGACGTTTACAAGGCGTCTTTGCTGGCTGAAACACTGACTGAGCGATTACATGAGACAGGATACGGATTGTCACGTTGTACTCTTTCTTTTAACTTGCCTTCGGGTGTGTAGTCATGTTTTATTTTGTGCTGAAACTGGTATTAATGTGGAGGAGATGATCAGTTCACGTGCACCTCGCGCTGCTGCGTCTGTACAGCGATCTGTCACTCCACATTAAACAGCGCCAAAACGGCGTTTATTGTTTAAATGCTGTCTGCAATACAATGGACAGAATTTGAAATCTGAGACTTTGTTTCGTATTAAAAGTACCAAGGCACAATGCTTATTGTTATTGCGATATATTGGATGGGAAGTGCCCTTCAACGTTCCGTCCATTAACTGAAAACAGGCTAGACTAATCGATTCTTGGGATTTAAGAATCGATATCGTTCCGTAAAAATGAGAATCGATTAATATCGAGATATCGATATTTTTTTACTTTACTGTCACTTTTGATCAATTTAATGCATCTTTGCTGGATTCATTTTCTTTCAAAAAAAAATAAAAAATCTTTCAGATCAGTATTTGAATGTTAATGTATATTTTAATATACATAGTTCACTTCTTCACCTTTAATTTAGCTTCATGTTGTACAGTTGAATGCAGGGCAGCTGTCTCAGCTGATAGGCAATGTGGCATCTGTAGACGACGAAGGGGCATCTAAACAACTGCCAGACTGCATCCCGAGTGAAAATGGGCTTTTATTAACAGACCTGGGCAGGTTGCAGGTGAGTTTTAGTGTGGCGATCTTCTTCAACATATTCATTTTGTGAGTCATACCAATATTACTACAAATTTGATTTCATATTTTACAGATCATCAATGGTCTTCGCAGATTTGAAATCGAATATCAAGGAGATCCAGAGCTTCAGCCTATCAGGAGCTACGAAAATGCTTTTTTGGTTCGACTGATGTTCCAGATCTCGTCCTTTATTAATGCAAGAGTAAGAATATTGCTTAGCCTAGAGTTTCATCCAAAATTAAACTTCATTATGGTTATTAATGTATGTGTTGATGCAACAATGATGCACATGCATTTCACTTCAATCAAATGTGACCATATTGGTTGTGTCCTATAGTTTGGAGACCACATGGAGGCGCTGTGTTCTCGACAGGACCTCCTGGGCAGTACAGGACGACACTACTTGAGAAGTTCCTCAAAAGTGGCAGAGCAATGGCGGAAGAGTCCGGTGACGCGGCAGATGAGGGAACGTCCTCAGCGAGCCCGTCTCAGCCTGCGGGTGTTGGCCAGCTATCGCACCCTCCTCATCCTCCTCCTGCTCTACATGCTGTTTGCACTACTGTCATTCAGTGTTCTCTCCAGCACTGGACTCATTCTCATCATCAGCTTTCTATATGAGCTCCTGTTGAACTTTCTTCATGAAAAACTAAAGACTCAGTAAATAAAGATTCATGATGCCTTTTTTATATATATTTTTTTAAATGTCAATACTAAACTTCTAGCAACCTGTTCTCCAAGGTGCATGAAGGTTTTTATATACAGTATTTGCACTGCAAGTGTATTGGTACATTTAATGACAAAAATTGAATGGGGAATGTCATATCTAATGCACAGTGTTTTTTTTTTAATCTGTGAGTGGTGGTTAATCCAGTTTTTCAGTCATTAAATAAATTTATAATGGTGTATTTTTTTTTGCCAATGTGACTGTCAGAACAATCCAAAGTTTGCACTTAACTCATTAAAAGGACATAATGAATGTCTAATTTGTGTACTGGATTTAGATTGCTATAGAAACACGGATGTTTAACAGGTCTCCAGGTAATTTTACACTGAGTGAATTATTGAATTGACTTAAATCTGTTATATCCCAGCAATATTAGAGAAAGTAGTGCTGTTACCATAGCAGCCACTACAATATTAAAAGTTCCAGTGGGAGAGGAGGAGTGGACAGTCATTGTAAACAAATACGCGTGACAACGTGTTAAGGCAGGTTTAAGATTTCGGGTAAAACACGAGTTATGACGCAACTTGGTAGTTATGCGTCATCCGCAAGCAGACGCATGTGACGTTAAAGTATCAGTGCGTGAAGCGAGGGAAGCGAAATGGATGCGCGCGTCGCTTCACTGCAGAGGAATATTGACTTCTTACAAAAGCAGCACAGAGAAACTCTGGAGAAATTACACGGTGAAATAGATAGTTTAAAACGGGAAAATAAAGGTACATGTATGTTACATTTCCTTCTACATGTTACAGAAATAATGTTTGGGCCTTTTAATGAACGACACTAATGGGGCAATTAGTGTTAGTGTGCTTCTATTAGTTGCTAACTAGTGTGCAACTATTATATATTTTTGTTGTGTTTTATAGAACGTATTTGTCCGTGCGCTTACAACAAACTTTATCATTCTTATTGTATTTTACGTAATTTAATTGAAAATGTTATACGATTAATTAATGTTGCCTGTTTTGCTGTTATAAGCTCTCTGCTTGCTTAAATGTATCAGTTAGGGAATAGTTCAACCCATTCTGTTATCATTTACTCACACTCATGTTGTTAAAACCTGTAGGATTTTCTTTCTTTTGAAATACAAATGAAATGTTAGGCGGAATGACGGATCAGTCTCCATTCACTTTCACTGTAAGGGAAGTTGCAATGAAAGTGAATGGAGACTGAGGCTGTAATCATCTCTTTTTTTTCTGCGAAAGAAAGTCATGCAGGCTTGGAGCAACACGAGGTTGAGTGAATAATGACAGAATGTGCATTTTCAGGTTTATTGAGGACGGGCGCCTGCTGCCAAGTGTATCAGAGCTGAAACTGTAGTGCAGGTTGCCTGGTGACGTCGAGTTGCTGAATGAGGAAAATGAAAGAATGGCGTTTGAAACCTCTGTGGGTGGCAAAGTATCAGATTACACAGACAAACGTTTTTGGTGTTTTGTTTCTGACTGTCAAAAGATTGGGATACCAGATGTAATGGTATTTTGCTTACAACAACCTGGAAGGAATGCACAAGAATTACAGTTTTGCTGATGGTAGGGAAGAACGGGGCTAGTTGTCACAAATGCGATATTTGAGTCAGTTGAGTTTTAGCTCTTGGGTTAACATACATGTCAGGTTGGGTTAAGTTGTCAAATGTTTCATTAGTTGTAATTTTTGTACCGTTCATTACTGTTTTCAGTTGGACAAAACAATAATTTGTTATTTTGTTTGATATTTTCAGTTTCATTATTTTTTTATATACTTAAAAGCCATTAAATACACCATAAGGTATTTTTTTTATATTGATATGCTTTTGAAAATGCCATAATTTTAAAATATAAATCAGCATCTTTAAAAGTTTTCCCATTGTAACCGCTTATCCCATATGATGGGGCACATTGTCACAAAAAGTGACTGTGTCCTGTGCATAAGTTGAAATAGTTCATTAGGTTTCTGGCTGTCAATGCTTCAAGAAATTAAGCTAATGATTTTCAAAATAAACCTATTCTGAGAAATATTCAACAAAGTAATCATGACACATACATACATTAAATTCGATACATCATTAATTAAACATCATTCTCCATTGTGTATTTTTTATGTAATTGTGGTTACAGAGTTGCAGTATAAGCTGATAATGGACCTTCCAAAGTCGAGCAGTAAAGGTTGAGTGACACTTCTGATCTCTCACATCTTCTCAAACAAAACCACTGTACACAATACAGATATATTGGGACATGTTTAACTTGCACCAAAATTCCATGACAGGATCCAGCCGTAGAATCTGTAAGCACCACACAGAGAGCAACAAGTTCCAGAGAGACAGAAGGAACTATTTGGAACAGACTTTGGAGGAAACCTGCTCACCACAAGCCACAGAGATTAGGTGCTTACAAAACTGCATATAAGATATTATTATTATTTAATATTATTTTAATTAGTAATTATTTTATATAATTATTATTCAATAATATTATTATTATAAAGAAGAAAGGGGATACATAGATTAGTAACATTCTTCTCATACCTACAGCAGTCATTTACAGTGTAGAGAAACCAGATCAAATTCCCTCACAGCCGACAGAACAGAAGCTCCTTCAGAAGCCAAAGCAGGGTTCATCACTTCTCTACAGCCTCTGATGATCCAGTGTAGTCCATCTCGGGCTCCTCGACCTCCCAGCCTACAGGAATGTGAGGTCATCATACGCCAGCTGTACAACGCTAACAGCCTGCAGTCCCAGGAGGTGAGATCATATATTTCTTAATGTCTCTCAATATATTATGTAATCCATTTTAATTTGTCGCCTCTCAGATCCTACGCGTGAAAGCTGTTCTCAAAGATATCGTATTCAACAAGAAAATAACTGCAGAGAATTACATTTTGACAAAGGCTTATCTTGCTGATGGTAAAAGGTAACTTCTTCATCACTACATTCCATTTTCGCATCTCAGAAAGCCTGACAAGACAATGTCCCAGTTATTTCACCATTTCCTTTGAGTTTATATATATACACTGAACAAAATTATAAACGCAACACTTTTGTTTTTACCCCCATTTGTCATGAGCTGAACTCAAAGATCTAAGACTTTTTCTATGTACACAAAAGGCCTATTTCTCTCAAATATTGTTCACAAATCTGTCTAAATCTGTGTTAGTGAGCACTTCTCCTTTGCCGAGATAATCCATCCACCTCACAGGTGTGGCATATCAAGATGCTGATTAGACAGCATGATTATTGCACAGGTGTTAATTTTGTTCAGTGTATATACATACACACACCACTAGTCCCATTATTTTCCCATGATGATTTTAGATATTATTGTAAACATGAATAAATATAATTTTGTATAATTATTTACTTTAAATTACAAACACAAAAAAATACGATATACATACAGTGGTGTGAAAAAGTGTTGGCCCCCTTCCTGATTTCTTATTTTTTTGCATGTTTGTCACACGGTGTGATAACCCACAGTTTTAACAGGGGGGCAAACACTTCTTCACACAGGGCCATGTAGTTTTGGATTTTGTTTTCCCTTAATAATAAAAACCTTCATTTAAAAACAGCATGTTGTGTTTACTTGTGTTATCTTTGACTAATATTTAAATTTGTTTGATGATCTGAAACATTAAGTGTGACAAACATGCAAAAAAATAAGAAATCAGGAAGGGGGCCAACACTTTTTCGCACCACTGTACTTTAAAATTTATATATTACATTATGGAAAAAAAGTTTCTGAGAATGACTCTACAAAATTTTCTGAGATACAGTCATGGCCAAAAGTTTTGGCAGTGACATAAATTTTGTGTTTTGCAAAGTTTGCTGCTTCAGTATTTGTAGGTTTTTTTTTTCACATGTTTCTATCGTATACTGAAAAACAATGATAAGCATATCATAAGTTGGCTTTTATTGGCAAAAAATATATATTAATATTAATATATATGTCAATATTTACAGTGTTGACCCTTGTTATTCATATCCTCTGCAATTCGCTCTGGCATGCTGGATATTAGCTTCTGGGCCAAATCCTGACTGATGGCGATCCCGATCCAGAGTTGATCACAATTTGTGGGCTTCTGCTTGTCCACTCGCCTTTTGAGGACTGACCACAGGATCTGTATGTGATTGAGAGCCGGGGAGTTGCCTGGCTACGGATCCAAAATTTCAATGTAATGATCTTCGAGCCACTTCTTTATCACTCTTGCTTTGTGACATGGTGCTCCATCATGCTGGAAAATGCACAGATCATCACCAAATTGCTCATGGATCATTGGAAGAAGTCGCTCTTTGATACCATTCTTTATTCATGGAAGTGTTTTTGGGCAGAATTATAAGAGAGCCCACTCCCTTTGTTGAAAAGCAACCCCACACATGGATGGTCTCAGGATGCTTCACTGTTGGCACGTCCCAGGACTCATGGTAGCATTCACCTTTTCTCTTCCGAACAATCGACTTTCCAGATGTCCCAAACAGTCGGAAGAGAGCTTCATCAGAGAAAATAACTTAGCACCAGTCTTCTGCTGTCCAATCCTTGTACTTCCTGCAGAATTTGTCTGTCCTTGATACGCTTTTCCTTGGAGAGAAGTGGCCTCTTTGCTGCCCTTCTTGATACCAGGCCGTTGTCCAAAAGTCTTAGCCTCACTGTCCTTGCAGATGCTCTCACACCAACCTACTGCCATTCCTGAGCAAGCTCTGCACTGCTGGTGACACGATTCCGTAGCTGA